CTCTCTCTCTCTCTCTCTCTCTTTCTCTCTCAGCATTACACTTGTGAATGTATTCTCGTCTGATGGGGTCGCTCCGTGTTTTTTCAGGATGAAGGGTGTGGTGTTCTGCCCGGATCGTGACCGTTTTCGAGTCTGAAACCGTTGCCTTTTTGTAATAACTTCTTCTTCTTCTTCTTCTTTTTTTTTTTGTAAATACATATCCGCGATGCCATATTTATCGTTTGTAATTTAAGGATCGAGACAAAAAAAAAAAAAAGTGCCGGGAACTGAACAATATTTATGGAGAGGGGGAAAAAAAAAAGAATTAATAATAATAATTAATAATAATAATGGTTTTCTAACAAAACAAAAAAAAAAAAAGAAGAAAGAGTGGGGAAAAAACCGAAACAAACAAAAAAGAAAATTCCCTGGGAACGGATGGGAACTCTGTACAGCTTTTGGTTATAACTGCTTTAGCATTAAAAGTTTATTGTTTTGGAAAGAGCCCGTTCCCCGCGTTTTTCCACCCAATTCCCCCCCCTCCCCCCGGTAGCCCGGTTCCCTGCCGGGCCCGGGCCGCTGCCGCGGTCGCGGTGCGTGTGTCCCCCCCTTGCCCCGCGCCCTCCCGGACTCGTGCTGCTGCAAACGCGGTGCTGCCGGCGGGGCCGGGGCAGTGTCCCGTCCGTCCGGGAGCAGGAGGTAAACGACCCCCGCATGCGGAGAGCGGGCGCAGGAGCAGCCCTGCCCGCGGGTGGGTGTCTGTGTGTCCCAGGCGGCGCGGATCCGGAGCCGGTGACGAGCTGTTTACTTCGGATTAAAGTAAGTGCTGCTTCATCTATCCCCAGTGTGTGTGTGTGTGACCCCCCCATCTGCTTCTGCACATTGTAATGTTTTAAATATCTATTTTAAAAATGTGTGTGTGTGTGTGGGGGGGGGGGCAGCCGCAGGGAGCCGTGTCCGCGCGGACGCGCTGCTCCGGGACGAGCCGCTGCGCGTCCCGCTTGGGGCACCCCCCGGGCAGGGGGCCCGGCTCCTGCCTGCACTTGCGGCGCAGCAAACCCCGGGATGTTTAAACGCTTTTTGCTCCTTGCAGGGCGAGCCGGGCCGGGCCGGGCCGGGCGGGGAGGGCGCCTCGGAGC